TATTGAACGTCTTCTAAACACACACACACACACACTCATGGACAACAGACAGCTGCATATTAGTTGTTGTAATTAGCAAAACACTAATTACATGGTGCCCAGCGCGGTTCAGGTTGCCCCAAGCACATGGTCTCCTTTTCTTTTAGATGTTGTGGGTACTCGCATATCAATTAGAGGGAGCATTGCAGTTGCTTTGTTGTTGCTAGCACAGCTAACAGAATATACTGGTAATTAAATATTGTTCCGGTTGAAACGTACTCGTTCTTGTTGAAAATTTGGTGATGGGAATACAAACAAGACTAAAAGCCAATAAATATACTCGTAAGAATGTTTTTAAAACTATAATTTTTGATTTTGAAAAATATTGCTGCTGAATCAAATATCAAATATTGCATTAAGACTGTTCTCATTAATATGCAGATCATGCACCTGCTTCCTCGTCGAATAGTTCCAAGTTATTAGAAAGCTTACACTCATAAAAAAACACACGTACATTCAAATGTTTATACGTACATTTAAATATTTTTACCACAGAGTGTTTTTGTAAATATAATTTAGTTTAATTTCGAGCTAAATATTATAATATTAAATTTAAATTGTGACGATATATAATCAGAAGTGATGACGTGAGCGAAAGTTTTATTCACGCCAAAGGTTTCTTTTTATATGTTTCAACTTTTTTGTCTGTCTGTCTGTCAATATTAGTATAAATAATATATTATTAAATTTATTACCTTATTTATATTTGATTTAAATACGAAATATTAGAACATAGAATTGAATATGAAAATATTCAATTTTACTATGCTTTTTTTTGAGTGTAGGTATAGTTTTACAATATTCAAGACAAATGAAATATTTGGTATGTCTGATTTAATAATAGTGCATTACATTCTGTGCAACCAATACTAAGTATAGGAAAATCGAAAGCTATTCCATTTGGGGGATGTTAATTAAATCGATTTAAACCTAAATAATGCACTCGATAAATGTCCTAACTATATGCACAGTGCAGTTAGGACTTGCGCCTGCGTTTTTCTTTTGCTCTTAGGAAAATGTTTATAGTGGGGTCGCTTTTACGTCAACGTCAGCCTCGGCGTTTGGCCATATTTCAAAGCTGGCTAAATACATGTTTAATTATGATTTCACGTTAATAATTATGACCTAACCGCACACCGAGCGCGACTGGAAAATGTGCAATGTTGGTTGGCCAACCTGGCGTCCAATTTGGCCATTCTGGAAGCTTGGGTTGTTATTTTTCCTGTTGTTGTTGCTTGGTGCCGGCTAATAGCCTGCAATACCCAGCGGAGTTTAAATTAATAATTACCACACAAAAGTGGCGAGCGAGGCGACTTTCAGGCGAACGTTCATGTTTGCATGCGGCCGTAAGTTTTGTTGTGAAAATAATTAATGCACTTAATGTGTAATTATTTCAATTAAATGATATTTTCGCTGCCGCCTGCTCGCCAGCAAGCCTGTCCGCCTTGCAGTTCATTAAAGAAGTCCTGTTCTATTTAATTGGCGCTGTTGGCGCTTTTGTTTTGTTGTTTTCTTCTCTTTTTCATTTTTAGTGGGCAAGCAATTAAGGTCACTCTAATTGGCAATGCACTGCCTAGTGGCTATCGATATGTGTCCCGTTTTCAACCCTCAAATCTGGATATGCAAAGCGTCGTGCACGAACGACGAAACGTCGAACCGGTTGGCAAACCAACAATTTGATTCGCTTAATTAAAAATGTCATTTGACTGACAATTTAATAAATGTAATGCAGCTTCAGTTCTAGACACTCTTATCAAAGCCTATAAATTAGCAAGCCTAAGTCCATCGGCATTCGATGTATAAGTGTCTGCAGCATGTTGCCAAGTCATTGTTGATTGATACTTGTTCATATAGCGTGCTAGGCGCGAATGAGAATAGCTTTGATGCTGAGAAACATTTGCGGCCTGGCAACATGTTGCCAGAAACATTAATTGCAACTTCTTGTTTAGCGAGCGACAAACCGACCGACCGGCTGCAATTATAGTGCGATTAGAAAGTTTCTCTTGCTGTTTATATTTCGTGTGTATGCACATATGTATATACATACAAGTATATGTGTATATTAAGTGCCGCCTAATATTTCGTTTAGCATGTATGCAGCTTATGAAAATGACGCATCGTCCGTCGTACAACTAGGTTAATGGCATATTTATTTATTACGGCCATTTGTGCAGTTTCTGATAGGCATCCAACGTTGAGCGAACAGTCGCATGCTTTCAGTTCTCCCTACTGGTAGCCGACATTTCTAATCTCTCTCCCTCTCTCTCCATCTTTTTCTCACCGATGTGTACAACCTTAACAGGCGCACAGCAAAGACAAGGAAATCTTTTGAAGAGGGCCTCGCCTTTGTCCCTTTAGAAATATGTGTGCATATAACTAAGGGTGTATTAGTACATGGTACTATGTACAAAATTCATGAGTATATACAACATTTCTTTGCTGGCTGAGACAATGTTGTTGCAGCTATTGTTGTAGGGATTTGCGGCCAAGACTATGAGCGAAGTACTTTGTTGACTGACTTCATATGTGAAGCTCAAGGGAATAATTGAACTTCATGTTCGTTCAATTATTGCTTTTGCTCAATAATCAACAGCATAATTCATTCTGCAAAATATGATTAAATGGATTTTAAATTTCAATTTTTATTTTTTCAAATATTTGAGTTGAGTTTGAAAAATCATATATTTATTTATTACTAGCGTACTAGCGAAAAATGTTAGCTTTAGGACGCCTTCCGTTCTCAACATGGATTTATCGGATTTGCATGCATAATTGTATTTTATAGATTCTGGATTGTTTTGTTGTTGGTCCGCTGTACACTGAATTGATTATTTTCATATTGAAAAACAAACAAAAAAATGGAAGTACAATCGAAAAAATTAATTAATGCAGTAATTTATAAGTTAAGCCAAAATTGTTAAAAAAAATTACGAAAATCGAAAAAAAATCGTCACGGGACTGTTTTAAATTTTGCCACATAATTTGATGAAAATGAACCGAGCGGCTTCGGAGTCTATAGGGAACACACATACATACTTCCATTTTTATATAGATTTACTGGTATATATTTTTATTAATATATTTAACTTATTTGAACATTAAGTCTAATGATTCCTTAATCCATATTCATATTTTTAAACAATATTTAATATCATACTTTGTACTTTCTATGAAACAATTACATGTTATAAGTGATGTATGAAATTGTTTCAGCCATAGCGCTATTGCGGTTTTAAATCTACATCCGGATATTTAAACATGTGGGTGTGTTATTTCCACAAACTTAACCCCTTTCCTGGCAACAATCACGCAGCCCATCTTCTCAATGCTTGCTCTTTCACTGTCCTCCATTTTCATTTATGTAGTAGTTCAGCCCTTTTTCAGCTTGCCACATACTCTAGCAGTGGCACGAACAAACATCAGTCGCTGCCACATTGAATTGGATTATGTTGTGATGCCCGGCAGCTACTTTAGATTTGATTTTCACACATTTTTTTGCCCGCCCGCTCGCCCCTTTCGCTCCCTCGGTTGCTTGCTTGCCTGCCTGCCCGCTTGTTCGTTTGCTCGTCGAGTATTTTTCATATTTTAATTTAAATTAGAGAGCAACACCCACACCCACACCCCCAACCCAATACCAGACGTTACAGACACTGTTGTAACTCATTCTGTGCAATCTGGTGTGCGCTGTGCGCGCTTAACGCGCTGATGTATGCTAATGAGCCACATTGTGCTCGAGCGATGCTAACTAAGGGCCATTGGCCGTTGGACAAGGATGAGGATGTGGATGTGCATGTAGTTGTAGATGTGGGGAGGGCTGAGTGTGTTGTGTTGGGGTAGAGGACATGCAACGTCCATAAATATGCATAATGCAATTAACAACTAAATGTAATTGCAAAAAATGTAAGCAGTGTCTCTCAGCTTATAGTCGGAGTCGGAGTTGGAGTCAGAGCTGATGCTACGGCTTGCCACCACCCGCACCATCGCACAGGCACTGGGATTGCCATCGCCATCACCATCGCCAGCGCATCACTGTCAACTGGCGCCAGCTACATGACATGACGTCTTTTGCTTTTGCCTTTGCATATGCATGTTGCCCGACTTTCGACTAGTAACCTGTTCCTGTTTGTGTCGTCGTCGTCGTCGGCGTCGTCGTCGCTTAGTTCGCACATTTTAATTAGGCTATTAAACAATTGCAGAACTCTAAAGACGCATGTTAGTTGAATGCGCCCGAACGCGTCCCGCACCCCACCGATCGACGACCGCTCCAAGCAAACTTGTTTCGTTCGACCACTTGGGCGCGCTTCAGTTCCGCCTCTGCCTGTGCCTCTGCCTGTGCCTCTGCCTCTGCCTGTGCCTGCGCCTGTCCATACGAATGTGTGCCAAATTTCGCATAAACTGCGACTGCCAGCAATTCCAAACGAAACCCAAAACCGAAAACGTTGCGTGCCTGCAACATCGACGGCAACTGTCGAGCGAGCTCTGAGCTCTGTGCTTTTTGAGCCTTTTGCGATTTCGACTGCGTCTTGGGTCTTGGGTCTTGGCTTTTAGTTTTCGTTGCTAGCTTGCTGGCTTGCTGGCGCTTTTTGGCTTGTTTGCATTTCTACGTCTATGGTATGTCGCATTTGGCTTTGGCCCGGCTGCGTAATAAAATGCATTTTAATTTGGCTAAATGTTCAATTAAATTTAAACATGCAGCAATTGCTGTTCGCCATTCGTTTGCTGTCGCCAACGTGAAGCGAGTGGCGAGTGAAACGCTAACTGTGTCAGCTGGCAAAACGACAACAGCACCTACGTCCCTCAAAAATCCTCGAACCCCTAGAAAGCCCTGCCATCATGGAAATGCATAAATAAAAAAATAACAATGACAATAAGTCCATCACGAAAAATAAATCCAAAATAAATGATCGAATATAATTTTTACCCAGAGAATGCAAAGGAAATGTTCAAAGTATGTTTTCAAATGCTGTTTAGAGACAAGAACTTTGGAATTCAAATTTTATTGAATATACACAACTGCACGGATTAATGTCATCAGATAAATGCCATTATAGCTAATCCGAAATTTATAATTTTGCTTTCCAAAATTCAAATCGAATTTAGCAACGCTTCGCCGATTTTTTCGTGCTCGGGCATGGACCTCGCAATTTATATTTCTTCACATATTGGCCATATTCCAGAACCTGGCAGTCAGCTATCTTGGACCGACAGAAACATTCGATCGGTGGGGTTGGCAGATCAGCCAATTCTGGTTTCTTGCATTCGGAATAGCTGGGAAGCGGTGCGCATAGTTTGCGGCAGCACGATTTACGACGAGTACGACCGCACTTGGGTGGACGGCGCCCAGAACGGCATCCCTGCATAAGGGCCAGCTGTGGACACTTATCATTCTGACCTTTGCGCGCGCATGCCGTACTGGGGGCACAGCCACTGGCCTCACGACGACTCCGTACACGTCGTTCCGCCTTAATCGCCTCCAGCTTTTCATAGCAGCAAGTCTTGCGCTTACGAACCAAAAATTCTGGACATTCGACCCAAGTCATCTGGTATTGACGCTGCTTGCACGATGGATGATAGTACATTTCGTCGAACCGCGGTAGGGGCGCCTTGCATCCGGGCTCGCAGCATTGGATCAAGGTTGGGTGATGCTGGAAAGGATATGGCTCGGGCAAGTTCGGCGGGGGCTCCCACATCGAGACGAACTTCGTTCCTTCGCAGTCAGGTTTTGGTTGGCAATATACTCTCGTCTCGCATTTAAATTCCTTGTCTTTGGCCTTGGCCCCCCTACCCTTCGATTCCGATTTCTTAACCGCATCCCTTTTTCCAGCGCTGCTTCCACTAGCCGGCGTTGCCTTTGCAGCGCCACAACCTTTGGGCTTATCGGAGCGCGAGCTACCGCCACAAGAAGAGTGACGTAGTTGCGGCGCCTTCGAATTGGTACCCAATATTTTCGCCAAGACTATGCGAAACATAATGGTAAATTTTGTTAAATCGAAACTAAAATTTTGTCCGGGGTGTATGTGTGTGTATAAGTTTAGAATAAGGCCTAAAACTGAATGGCACTCCAGTAGCCTTAAGTGCAATGCCTACTATACGATATAAACACGATTTTCTGGCTTATCGAATATCGGTTTTTATTGCTATTATCTGTACTATTATTCGATTTAACGCCCCGATATCCGCCTATTCAGTCTCTTTCGTTTTTTCCGGCTTCGCCATGGTAATCTTGGCCGTAATGTTTATGTCCCCATCGTCGAGTTTGCGCAATGCTTGCAACAAAGCGCAGCGCAATAATTTTCTAGAGTCGGGTGCACTCAGCTGTTTCTGTTGCATGGAGACCCTATCAGGAGATTTGGTCGTGGACATGGGTCTTTGGGAAGGCTGCATAGAATTGATGGGCACATTGACCACCGGAAATGCCTTGTAAGGCACAACTGGATGTTGCTTGCTCTCGTTGTAGTCCTCATAGAGCAACGTCTTGTCATCGCTTTCATTTGGCGCGGATTTGAAGTCATCTTCTGGCTTTTCCATACAAACTATGGATTGTTGCATAACATCAGCTGAAGCGTCTTCCGCTTCAGTGTTTTCGACGCAACTAAATACGTTGTCGGCCTCCGTATCTTCCATGTACTGGATAAGTTCGTTTTCTTCTTCATTTCCCATCGCAATGTTTGGAGTCAGGGCGGAATTTAGTTCATCGGCGAAATGTGAACTCATAAACTCATGGTATTCTTCAGATTCCGATTCGTCACCATCGTAGCTTGCTTCAATCGCATCCCTATCTCTAAAATATCTCTGAATTCTTTCCAGAAGTTGTTGTCCACCAATATCCAAGTCATTGGGATCATAATCACCGGCGTCGTCACTCGACATTGATATAATATAGTCGTTCACGAGTGTTTCATCAAAGTTTAAGAAATTCTTTCTTACGGGTGGTTCCACCACATCAAGATTAGTTCCCAGTAAGTTGATTTCATCGCGGTCTGTAGATTTTTCCGTTCTACCTTTGATAACCCTATCTGATTCATCAGAAGAGATACCCATTGCGGACACTACTTTCTCGGAATTGAATATTATTAGGTTTGGCTTGCCTTCTTCTGCACTCTTTCCAAGCATTTTTGGGTTGGTGACCTTATCCAATAAGTCCATTTCCGGACTTTTCTCCCACATTGTATCATCTGATAAATAATTGTAGGGCATGCGCTTTTCATCAGCTTCCGACTTGGCAGTTGACTTGATGGCGTCTGGGTTAGCCGGCGGCTTGACACCATCAGTAGCGCAACGAATTGAACTCCGCCAAATAGATGGCTTCGCAACAAAGCGATGGATGACTCGCAGGCAACTGTTGACCGACGTCAAGCGCGACATTTCGATATATACCGGGGCGCTTACTGTAAATTTTGAATAACTATTTAAAAGAGGCTTGTACCTGGCAAATCCAAATATAAAACTGATACTACTGCCATTATTTGGGCCTGACATGTTCAATTAGGTACTTGCAAAGGGATCTGAGATATGCATGTGATTCAAAATGTATTTATTTATTTACTAACGTACAGCCAGATCGAATAATATATTCTCTGTATCCATACGCTTTCAAAAGCTTGTTGTTGTTGGTTGTTCTCCAATCTCACTGCTTGATGAACAGAGACGTTCCCTTCTTATCTGTACATACGAGTACATATATGATCAGCATGACGTTGGTGTGGTCCATCAGTTCGTCCGTGGGTTCGATTAAACCATAACTGAGACCTATTGAACTATAACAGCTAGGGACTTGTCTTGTAATCTTGTAATCTAGTACATTTCTTAAATAAAGATTAACCAACCATAGCCAATGAATTTCTTTTTGTCTCGCCATAATCTTAAGTTTTATAGAAATTGGTAACATATTTCAAAGGACAGATTGCTAGCACTTGGCATATTGTAGTTGATATGCTGTTTGTATTTTTTATTCCCTGTACCCGTAGGGTAAAAAGGGTATATTAGGTTTGTGCAAAGTATGTAACATGCAGAAGGAAGCATCTCCGACCCCATAAAGTATATATATTCTGAATAAGCATGACGAGAGAAATCGATCTAGACATGTCCGTCCGTCTGTCCGTCTGGATGAACGCGAGGATCTCAGAAACTATAAAAGCTAGAATAACCAAAGTTGGCATCCAGATTCTCCTAGGTCCGAGAAAGGACGAGTTTATTTTATTTTTTGGAATTCCCCCCCCCCCCCCCCCCGCCCCCCCTTCCCACGCTACAGAATTTCGTCAATAGCGTCCACATTTCAAATGCTACCTAAACCAAACTTTGCAGACATAATTTGGGCGCATATAACTCAGTGACGGAAGTTTACCTGGGTACAGGGTATTACACTGTCGGGCTTGCTCGACTGTAGCGTTCTCTCTTGTTAAAGAATCGATCGAAAGAAATTTAAGTTCCGTTTTATTAATTTCCGTTCTTTTATATATAATCTAAAAATATATGACACGATGATATGGTGCAAACTATGACAGCAGTTCTTTCAAAATATCTCAATGCAAAACTATTGCCATAGTCTGCCCGTTCATGCAGCCAGATCGCTGCTCAGCCCCTACTTGCTCCAATAATTCTTTTGGCACGGATGCAGTTTTAAGCCCATTTTCTTCATATGTGAACCATATCGAAGGGCAAAGCAGGCACTCTTTTCTGCTAGGCAGCGACATTCTGGAGGTCGTTCGTGCAGCTCCGCCAAGTCCTCCTTGAGGCACTCCGAGTAACTGGGGAAGGGGCATCTTTTTTTAACGCAGCACGCTTTGCGCCGGATCCTATGACACTTGGGTGGCACGCGAGCACTTCGACAACAAGGCATTTGCACGCGTGGACAGGGGTCGTCCTTGGGTGATTGGCACACTGCAGAAGGATCTCGGAAGTCGCAAGCTGTCTGTGGAAACAGTTCGGGACAACGGCGTTCCACTTCGGGTGGTACAGCATCGCACCAACAGCAAACGCGCTTCGGCACCATGCGTGGACAACATTCCCACCAAGTCCGCTGATACCGTCGGCATTTATTTGACGGTCTATAGTAGAGCTCATCGAACCGCGTTATATCACACTTCGGACAGCACTCGGGTGGGTAGCTTAGCAAGCTATCGACTGGAGCCTCGTCCCGTATGCGGAGCGGCTCTTCCCACATACTAACCCATGGTGGCGGCTTACTTTTGCAGGGCGGGTCCTCCGGTCGCGTATCAATGCAACAGGGATATCGCGGCGATTGCGGAGCATCCGTCTTGCATGGATCCTTGCGGGGCCTACAGGTGTCCGTTGATTCTTTCCACACGGTCATCGCTGTGTGGAAAGTATTACGGGGCGATGACAATGAAGGAGTGGCTTGTGCGGTCTTGCCACATGTATTGAGTGACCCCAGAAGGCTGCACACTTGATGGCGACAATAAAGTCTCCTAGCAGTAAGCATACCGAGCAGCATTAGAAATTTTGAAGGTAAAATTTTGTTGGAATGAATTATGAATTTGCAAAAAATATTTCAAAACAGAGGCCTAAATAAATGTGTGTGTGTGCATGCTGAGTTAAATGAAGGCAGAGGTGTCTCAGCTTACATAGAAAAGCCAAGTCTGTGAATCTACAGTTTCTCCCTACAAATAATACGGTCTAGCCATATCAGTAATATTGTTAAAACGTATACTATAAATAGTATGTTTTGGTAGCTAGAGAGATGAACACAAAGAAACATTTATTGAGAAACAATACTGGGAATGTGGTATGTGATGCGGCATGTCCTCGGCTGTCAGTCTGCGAGTGGAAGTTCCTACAGTTTGACAGTCGAATTCATGCCCAAATGGTCTGGCCACATGCTTGACAACAATACCATTGTTAGGGGACTCAAAAAATCGTCTAATAGCAATCACGGTAGAATTTTAAACGATCAATGTTAATTTGCTGCTCTCTAAAACTCCGGCAGAAGTCCTTGTCGTCGCCGCCGCACGTGCTCCTCGGCTGCATGGCATTAGCTCCCGCGAAGGCATAGCGTGCCAGAACGGGAACTTTCTGCACTGGATGTGAATACATTTTCTCCTGCTGCTTGATAACGGATGGTGGTATTGGCTTCGGCACTTCCGTATTCCTCGGAGCTTTCTGCAGAGCTGCCCCAGAAGTTGGCAAAGTGTGGAAACGCTGTTGCTGTACCTTTGGCAGCGCAGCCAGCTTAGCTTGGGTCAGCAGTTGCGACGGCCTCTCTAGGCGTCGAAGCCAATTACTTACTTGGCTCTGCTGGCCCTGACTCTGCAACTGCGCCTGCCCCTGGCACTGCAACGGGTTGGCGGCATCAGTTTTGGGACCAACCGCTGGCACGCTCTGCCCATAGATGTCAGACATGCGTTTAGGCTTTTCCAGCGTAGGCCGATGTAGTTGATAGCGATACATGGGTTGTTGCCACACCGAGGCGTATTTGCGTACTGAAGGCGCTACCGATGAGGCACGCTTCGTAGCCTCCATAACTAGAAGGCGTCGTCCACTACCGGCATTGCGACGAGTGAAGATCGCCTGCGTCCTAGAATAATGAGCTATGAACTTGGTTAGGCGCTCTGCGCAAATGGTAGCTAAAATAGAGGCTCCCGCCATAATTTCAAATATGTGGCAGTGATGAGTAGTTCGTAGTGTCGGATTAGCTAATTCGAACAAAAATGTTTGGATTGTGCGGAAATTTACGTACGATTTGGAAGCCTATTGCTTTTTTTGATTTATGTATACGTGTCGAAATGTTCGTAATTTATATTTTGTATGTCTTTTCTGGCAAAAGAAACAAAGCAACTGTGCTTGGTCCCCATCTCAGTCACCCAGGGAACACGAAAGCTTTCAAATATAGTATGTAGTATAGTATTATAAATGATTAGATTTATTTGTTTGCTATCCACAATTTATTTGAAAGTTTGGCAACGAATGCGATTTAGGGCTAACAACGTCTGGTTTCTGGGTCGTGCAGCCCTCAAACGTTGCGAGTTCTAGACCGCTGCCGCAGCTAACAAATTTGGACACACGATCCCTAGACATGCTATATACCTCGTATTGCTTGCCGATGTTGTTCTCTGAACACTTCGCACTGAAACCGATAACGATGACATGTGCACTCTTTGTCTTGCAACGGTCTCTGCCATCTTTTGTTCGTCTCTGAGTAAGCTGGAAATGGAGCTTTTAGCTTCGAGCATTGCGTGATTCTCCGTTTAGGTTTGCAGGATGGTGGACAGCGGCCTAGGTCGCAGCATCGTGCTAGGATGCGTTGACAGACGCTATCCTTGCGTTGCCAGTTGCAGATGTGCTTCAGGCGCTCCTTATCCTGTTCACAAGCTGTGCTTGGGCAGCCGCTTTCCCAGCGGTAGATCACCTCGGGCGGCCTAATAGCGTCTAGGCAGCAAACCTTGCGCAGTCTTGTATGGACCGCTGGACACTCATTCCAAGTGCGTTGAAAACTCCTGCATTTGTCCGATGTCTTATAATATAAGTCGTCGAAGCGGGGCAATAATTCTGGGCAGTGGGGTTGCGTGTTTGGGCGACACGGTGGCTCCCACATAGACCTAAACGGGACGTATGGTTTTTTGCGCTTCTTCCTTTTGTGTGGCTTGCAGTAGCAGGGATTAGCCTGAAATACTCGCGCCACACAACACTTCTTCTCCAGCTGTTGCATTTCACTGAGGTATCTGTTATCGGGTACTTCACGCATCAGGACACTTCGCGCCATTTCGCACGAGTCCTCGACGTGGTGGCAGAACGGATTTTTTGGCATACAGGGTACATCGGGAAAGCGTGAAATGCAACTGATGTAACGGCAGAAGTTAAACAAACGTGGACTGGGCAGACATCGCTGTAGTGCAGCCATTGCTTTTCTGTTGCATATCTTTCCTTCCCCAGATAATTTGGACGAAAGTTATTGGGCCGAAATTTCTAAAATGTACATTTTTGTTGTTTTCTTTTTTTCGAAATTTTGTAATGATGCCCTGAAAACAAATGCCAGTTTCTGTTATATGCTTCCAAACCGATTATGCTTGCAGGGCATCACTGAGGGCTGAGTGCAGCATGGTAGTTTTCCGCGTGAACGTTGAAACTGCATCCATATATCGCACATGCTCGGAACGACCTTGCACTGACATTCGGTGGGGCAGATGCCGCGAACAGATTTCTGGCACTCCGAGAAGCTTGGAAAGGGCGCCAACGGCTTTTTGCAGGAACTAGGCCGCTTAACCCGATGGCAGCTCGGTGGTCGCCGTGCTGGCCTGCACCGTGAGTCGGTCAGAAACTGCTTGCACAGAAGCTGCATTTGAAATAAATGCTTCTCTCTCGCAGTCAGCGGGGGCCCAGGTGGAGTCCTTTTGCGTCGCTTTGAAAGTAGAGAATGCTCTGGATCTGGGCAGCAGCTGTCTTGCGGACGCAACCAAATTTGGGGACACTCGGGCCAGGTGCGCTGATATCGACGACACTTGTCTGATGGCTTATATATTGTGTCTATACGCACCGGACAAGTTTCGTCATTGCAGCAGTAATTGCGCTGATAAATTTCCCGGATATGGTGTTGATAGTCATCGCCCGGAGTTTTCGGTCGCTGGTAGCAGGGATTGAACGACGGCCCTGGCTGACAAATGCTCTTATTTGCCAAGCACTGCGTCATAGTTTTATCTCGCATTTTGCAGCACCCTCCTGTGGCGTCGTATGTGCCCCAATGGTAGTTGCATTGCAATGATCTGAACGCCACGGTTGCTGACTTGCTTAGGGAGGGCAAGCTTTTTTTAAAGTTCCACGAGAGGACCATTTGCTTGTGGCTTAAAGATGAGTTCCAAAAGGAAAAGGGCAGAACACAAATTGAGTAAAAAATTTGGATAGGTTTTCAATTAAAATGGATATCGAACTGTCAGGCTCGATAGTTATGGCAGAGGGCATTATTAAAATGATGTTATCTCAATTGCTTATCATGATCCACTGCATGAACCTTCTTTGGACCCAGTTTTATTGTGAAGATGTTATATTTTCAGCTTCCATTTCAAACACTTCCCTCTGCTTTATGCTTCAAATATGTATATCCTTATCATTAATACATTTTTCATAAACTCAAATATTTGACAACTAAAGCAGAAGGAATAAAGAAGAATTGTAATGTCCCGTCTTATTAAGTAGGTTGCGGAAAAATTTTTTGTTTTTCTTTGACCGTAAAATAAATAAATGATGATCCCATGGATCAGACGAATATAGAGACATCTCTATATGGAACGGAATAAAATCATTTTTGTATATTCTAATAACCACATACACAGCTTAATAAATCTACCGATGGTGATATATTTAGATATGAGACATCGTCCATCTAGAACACCACTCTCTAGTTGGACGATGTCTCATATCTGAACGCTGAAAAGGCCTTAACCTTAACTTAAAAGGATAAGACTTTATATCTATCAAAAAAGTGGGAGATTAAGCTTTTATCAAAAATGATCGGTGGATAATTGCGCTGAAGTTATGGAAGTTTGCGGACGCTTCTAAAAGAATACCTGCTTTACTTCCTACTCAATAGACTAAACAATTCAATCCTTTCACATGGAGTCTGCCACGCTTCATTCTGCTTACTAAGCGATGTCAGGGCGGGGATTCCATTATATTTTGTCTAAGATGACTCTGCAATATCTCATCACTAATGTGTACATGCGTATTCCTAGTAATGTGTTCGAGAACATTATCTATTGGAAGATTTGTAATTGCATATATCATCGCATTTCATACCAAACACCACTATTTGATTTTTATTTGTATATTTTATTTGTACTAGTCTATACTAGTTCGACTGGTACGATACTTGCTGCAGCCCCTTGAAAGCATGCCCAAGAGTTGGCTGGCGCGAGCTCGTGCTAGTCGGTCTAGGACTTTTTGTTGCGGAAGTATTCCCAAACGCTGCACATGGATGGCTTCTGAAGGCAGTTGCACTCTGTTGGAGGTGCATCTGGAAGCGGATCCATGAGACACTCGGAGAAACTTGGGTATTTGGTGAGGCGTTTGCGGCAGTCTTTCGGTGCTCTACCGTCGCCACGACGGCATTTGCCAGGAATACGTGCGGCACCGCAGCCGGGCGAAGTTTGTCTCGGGCATTTCTTGTCCTTGGAGAAATCTGTGCAGTGAGCCAGCGCCAACTTCGGAGCACCCAATGTGCAGGTGCCTACATCACAGCTACCCTTCTTTGGTGTCTTGCGCTTACGACGTTCCATACTTGGGGGCTTGAAGACACACTTGGCCCTCATCTTACGACGCTTCAGCACGCACTCAACCCACGTGCGCTGGTATTTTCGATTCAGCTTGTCTCCAGGTCTATATTTGGTCAAGTCAGAACGAGGAACTTCCGTGGCACAATCGTCCTCTATACATTCTTTTCTGGTATCGAGCCATGCACTGAGGTTGAATTCGGGGTCGGTGCGGCATTTGTATTCAGTGCGGCGGAGAGCTTGCCAGCATGGTTCCGGTACCTTCGACGTGTCGGGCTTCTCCCTTTTCTTCAGACCCTTCTTCAGTGTAGGGAGAACGTAGGCCTCCACACACTCTTCGCAGGACTCCGTACCGTAAAGTGTGTCCAATAGACGGTGCTGTTGCACAGCACATGGACATCGTCTACCAAATAGATTTAGCCGGGACAGTTGCAAGATCGACTGGGAAACTTTGCAAACGCTTTTGCCTGAAACCAACATATTGCAAGTCGAAACTGAATTTAAATTTGGATATTCGAATGAAAAAAATTTAGAAGCCAATCAAATTTGTTTACTAGAAATTTAGAAACCGAATCGGAGCGGCGACTGACTGCTCACGAATTTAGAAAGAAACTGATTTTATTTCATGCTGTAGGGCTGGGGCTTGACTTAAAAGCAGTGCGTGCTGTATCGTATTTCCAGTTGAACTGAATTCCAGGCGATCTGAAATAGGTCAGATGCCACAAAACGAATGAGTTATAATTCAAAGCAAGCTGATTTGTTGAGTTTTTATATATGTATTTATTTTTTTCAGTCCCCAATTGTATTTACATATGTATTATAAATCCCCAATACTGCAAATAATAATAAACAAATGGACAAGCACAATGGTAGCAGAATAAAGAAAATTTCTTAAGTATTCCTTGAAAAAGTTATTCAACCGATTTCAAATAATTACCTTATTGATTCTTATTTCCACATTACCTCTGCTTTTAATATTTAGGCTAATAGGGTAGGCCGGCTTGAATGACATATGAGAGGAATGGTATTGTATTGAGCGTTGGAGAACCTGGACACCAAGTTTGGTTATTCTACCTCTTATACTTTCCGAAATACTTGCGTTCCTACAGACAAACGGACAGACAGGCGGGCATGGCTACATCGACTCGTCTTGTCATGTTGATAAAGAGTATGCAAGAAGAATATAGCCTGTGGGGTCTTGTTTACCCTTTAGGAACAAGGACTAAAGTTTAAAACTGCTTAAAATGGAATGATCTTTCTCTGTAACTTTCGTATTCTTTTCAAACATATACACAATATAAAGCATTATATATGTTTTATGGCAGAGCTGTAGATGTAAAACCTCTCGATATATGTATAGTATTGTTTCCATAAACAACATTGACTTTCAACAAGCCTCAAAATTAAAAGGTCATCAACTTTTTAGTTTGAAGTTAATTTATTCACAAAGTTAAAAAGAAATTTTCACTAGCAGTTGTTTCCACAATCATCTTAAGGTTGTTCAAATCCTGCAGCCTTTACGACTGCATTGGAAGCACTCGGTCCTTCTTTGAGCCTCTCGGAGCTGTTCCTCTGCTCTTCGTTTCGCCTGCTGCAACCGCTTGGGGAGCGCCTGCGTGCTCTCCGAAAATATTCTGGTAGAAGAGCTCGCTGGATTTTCGGTAGTATTTTGTTTAGAGACCCTTTGCGATCGCTCATAATCAGGCATATAGTAGAGGTCGTCGTAGCGCAATTTGAGCTCGGGGACTGGTAGTCTCCGGGTCTCGCGCACTGGCAAATTGAAACGGTGGTACTGTGGCTGCGGCTCTTCGGGCTGAGTGCCTAGCTCGTATGGTGGTTCCTCTGATAGGTCCACTATCGGATCTGTCCAAGTGCGTTGACAGGTTCGCTCGCAAATCTTGCTCGGTCGATAATGTTCGTCATCAAATCGGGTCTCGGGTTTACACTGCTGGCGATGTCGCTCCATTGCACACTTTCGCAAGATCCAGCAGCCGTTCCTCACAAGGTAGTCCGAGGTCGCGCAAAGCTGCAGTTGACGAACTACCATCATTTTGTGAGCAGAACCCTTTTTGGGGCCGAAAAGTAACGAAGCAAGATTGGCGACTACCCGCCCACTTTTTTCCGATAGCGAATTCATTTTTATACTAAAATTTTGAAAATTTCCTAAATTTTGAACCGAAAGGGTGGAGAGTTAAAACTAAACTGAAAACATGAAGAAATTTTAATGTAGATACATCACTGAAAAACCGAACTGCATTTCAAGGTTTACTGGGTTTCATATTTATTTATTAATTGGAAACTGAATTATAAACAAGCAAAAATGAATTATGAAATTGTTCAGACCCCAAAGGAGATATATGGATAACAAAAGACATATGTACATCAATCTTCTTAAGTGAAACAAGAATGTTTAGTGAAAGAAACTTGGAATGCTCACAGCATTGATAGGAAGCCTATATTCCCCAAAAAGTCAGTTGTTTTTTACTTTTTCGAAGCCCTTGTAGTTTTCCGAAAATAACGTTGAGACCCGTTTTTTCTTTAAGCATAGCAACATTCTTTACTCCCCTAGTTTTTTTTGGAACATGTCTGTTTGAATCATACTTTGAGAGCCATTCACGGGGTAATGTGCTTGGGGTCCGAATGTGTGGCCAAAGTACGCCAAGCACATTAGCTGCTGTACAACTATTGCAGCTCATCCTCGAAGCCTGATTCCATCATAGTGGCGGCCCACTGTTCGCCATAGAGCCAATCGCTCGCACGTAATGCAAGCGGCCCGCCGCCGCCCAGGTAGCCGGCTAGCTGCATTTGCATCAACTCCAACCTGGACAGCGGCGAGTTCCAGTGCTCCTCAACTTTGGGTATTTCAGCCCTGGGAGGAGTTCGTACAAGACATTGGCAGCCTGCCGAGCGATCGGTAGACCGTTGCAGTTGTGTCGTCATCTGCGCTTTGTTGTAGTGTTGTCGCGTGTGCAGGAACTGCTGATCCTTGTTGCAATAGACCGGCCTGCCACAACGAAACCTGAGCGCAAATGCCGTTTTAAGCATGTTCATTGGAGAGCGGGCTGGTTTAATTTAGTCAAGGCAATGAAGAAGAATCCAAAAAAATAAAAGCAGTTGTATTACAAATCGGCTAAAATAATTCTTTCTAATTTCATCATTCTTTAATTTTTTTTTCAATTTTTAGGGTGAAATTTTGACAAGTAGAAATGAAGCCTACTTTTGATTTAGCACTCATTTGTCGGTGTTCCAACAATCGCACTCGTTGTCTGGCTTTGGCGGCGGCTTGTCTTTCTTGCACTCAGAGAAGCTGGGGAAGGGTGTCGGCTGCTTGCGGCATTTCTTCTTCGATGGACTGCGCTTACAACTCGGCGGGTTGCGCCCGGACTGACAACCGCCCTTCACCTTGGTACATTTGGAGTCCGTCGGCTCCTTCTTGGCCAGAAAACGACAGCCTATGGTCCGTAGAAACACCGGGGTCTGGCGCAGACGTAGTGCCAAGCTTGAAATCATTTCACTTGAATTTTTAGTCCCGAAAATAATTGACAATAGACCAAAAGCATAACTAGGCTAACAAATAGGCCACAAATCTAAGAAATCGTTCTTAAAATGAATTCTTCACAATTGAAAAAAAAAACTGTTCAGTTTTGAGCTCAAATTATTTATTTTTGGATTTTTTTTTTTCAATTTAAATATTTATAATTTGTGCATATCTATGGTTGTCCGCACTTCCACTTATCCCGGCCTCGTGCAAGTCTTCGTCGCAGCTCTTCCCAGGCCTCGCACAGCGCGACAGAATCCAGGCAGTGGCATTCGTTGGGTGGCAATGGTATGGGAGGATCTTTCTTGCATTCCGAAAAGCTGGGATATGGCGCCTTCTTTCTTTCGCATTTTTCTCGTTTGTTCGTTGGCTTGGAACATTTGGGCGGGTCTCGGGCTGGTTTACAGCATGGCATCAATACTTTTGGGCATGAAGTCTCCGGCTTCGGCTTCTTGCACGGCATCGGCCTATGCGTCTTACAAGCGGGCTTCTGAAATGGCCGCTTCCGTCTTTTAATCTTGGGTCGTTTCATATTAGCGTAGATGCAGACTTTCTTCGGTTTGATGACCAGCCGCGGACATTCGTTCCATGTGACCTGATATTTGCGGTTCTTGTCCGAAATGCGATAGTGCTCAACGTCGAACCGCTCGAAATCAAACTCACAGCGCGGTTCCGGCTCGCAACCTTCCATATACCACATGGACTTAAATTCTGGCTTCTTCTTCTTCTTTGGCTTCTTCTTCTTCTTTTTCTTATCGCACACGTTTTTCTTCAGGCTCTTGGGGCCGCACTTGCTTTCCTCCTTGGGAATGCACGAGTCGTAGTGACGTGTCTGCTGCACGAGGAGTCCATTTCTGGCCCCACATACAGGACTACGTAGGGCCCGATCGATAGAGGGCGATATTCCGAAGGCTTGTGACTGTGTCAATAATTGACGGCTCATCAAAGCATAGGTATTCAACATGCAGCGCACTGAAGGCGCGATAGATTGGCGCGTATGCCCGGCTAGATGCATTGTGCAAAACAAACAGGCATTAAAATTTTGAATACAAATGAAACGGTGAACCAAAAATTATGCTTAGTTGAATTTACAAATTTTGGGCCGAAAATTTACAAATAATTTATATGCTATTCTTTTGAGCTCATGTTGTATACTGAGCACGAGAGCTTGTTGGGCCTAGACAAAAAGCAGACTGAGGTGAGTTGTAAAGCGATGCGTGCTTTGTTAAAGAAAATACAAATACTAAAAATAAATTTTAAATATAAAATAAATATTTTATATTTATGTAAGCGCTAATTGCCAAAGCCACATCTATATTTTTAACATTCTGCTTGGACAAATTTGTTGTTGTGGTCATTCCACCAATATCGCGGAGCACTGCGCTTGAATTAATTGTAATCTTTGTTAATGGACATTTCTTTATTTAATATGTTTTTTACGATTACTATACCCAGTAAACAGTAACTTCGGTACCTCTACATAATAAAACCCAATGAACTACAACCCAATATATTCGTTCAATTGAAGCATAAAACGATGTGGATTTTTTCCTTGTCTATATACAACGCTTTTATTGTAGTTGTTTTTTTTAGCAAATAATTTTGAAATTTGTCTGGTGTTCTTCAAATTAAGCGGCAAAGCAACACGAGCATTTGAGGTCCAACCACCTTTAATTTATTTACGTTTGGGACACTGTCCCTTTCCTCCGCCGCTTCCACGCTTACGCTTTGCTCTTTCTGCGAACATCTCGCAAAGCGCAACGCTTTCTAAGCAGTGGCATTCAGTTCTACGGAGCTTGCGTAACTTGGGTCTGCTGCACTCCGAGAAAGATGGATACGGAGCACGGACTTTACGGCAGTCGGAGGGTGATTTGGCGTTGGTGCACTTCGATGGATTCCGCGCAGCTTTGCAACCCGGCAGCACAAGACGTGGGCAAGGGCCTTCATCCTTCGGCGGGCATTCCGATGCAACATCGCAACACACGATCTCTCTCTCCTTCTTCTTCCGACGCACAATGGGCGGGTGCTTTGCATTCTGATAACAGCAGATCTTCTTAGGCTTGATCTGGATGGGTGGACACTCCACCCAGGTGACCTGATACTTGCGAGCAGCCTTGTCCGATGGCTCGTACAGACACTCGTCGAACCGTGGGAAGTCCATGGCCGCACACGGATCTTCGCAGCACTCATCTGGAAAACTGATCAAATGATGAAACTGAAAACCGTCCCCCTTCTTCTTTTTCGGCTTCTTCTTGAATGTCTTCTCGCCGCAATCGTTCTTAATAGTTTTACCGCAGCTCTTCAAGCTGTCACCCAGATTGGAGCACTTAGGCGGAGGAGCGTCATCCGCAAAGCCGCGGACGCACAACCGCTGTAGCCCCCGAAAATTTCGTAGCAGGGAAATTCGAGGAACACCCCGTAACGCCATTGCTATAGGGCGCGTTGGTCCCTTCTGCTGTGTTAATCAATGACAAGGAAAAATTTGCCTATTTGAGAATCGTCGAATACATAAAATTTTGTCTATAAAAAAAAGGTAGAAAATTTTGAAATATTTTTACGCCGAAAAAAATATTATTTTTGCCGAAAGTGTGTGTGTGACTAGGTTGAGTTATGTATTCGAACTGAACTGGTATCCCAAGTCAGTGTCGACTAGCAGTCGAAGCTGTTTTCACAGCATGCTTGAACACAAAAAACGGTCACTTCTTACAAATATTTCGGATGAATTCGACAAGGGAGAGCAGTTTATTAACACTTTATAACTGGAATAAGAGATGGAGCAAATGTGGATTTTATTTAACGATGGCATGGAACGATTGATTTGATGATCCCTGTACCTGCTTCCTATAAATTGCATCGGTCCAGAAACAATTTGTTCTTTTTGCTCTTCGTGATCTTAACTGGGATGCTCATCTGCGATACCATCCTACCCCAGGAGACTTCTCTTTATTAACCAGCCTTCGTTGGTGTTCTGTTCTTCCAGAAACTGATTGCCGCAGATGTTGATTCCTCTATGCTTTTCTCTATTTAACCATTAACAATCCTTTTCGAGTATTATGCTCTGATTATGATTTTTAGTTTCAAGTGGCTCTGTCTCTCCTCACTAAATTCCTTTTTTTTATTGCTATTTCTTCATATCCATTTCTTGTTTGTAAAATGCGTTATTTGATATTTTTGTTATTTCCGTTTTATTTAATAGCGTTCTCTATTGTTTAATCTTTTTTTACATCGATTTATTTGTCGATAAAATAAAATAAAAATTAAAATAAATAATTAAAATTAAAAAATAAAGAAATAAAATAAAATAAAGAAAATAAATTTTACAAAAAATAAAAAAATGTAAAAATTAAATAATTTCCATAGTTTCTTAACAATCCATTTAAAGCTAGAAAGCGTTGTATTAAAAAGTTTCGGAGAAACTTGAATTGTTTTCTAACATCATGTCATTGAAGCCTGTCCTGGACCACTTAGCCATGTAAATGAAAAGGGCTCTCTATTGACAACATCAGCATGGGGCGCATGCAAAGCAGCTAACTCCACTTCGAGACCGATCTCTGTCAGGGTCCGTTGCAAAGGAGCTGTGCAAATATAAGCACTGCGCACCATATTAAAGTCGCTTTATAACAAATTACCAATGCAGATGTATACACACAAATCGGTTATACTCGTACTCGGCATGCATACATACGAGTATAATATACAAGACGCTGCCTATTCTATTTATTCGAGTTTGATGTACGAGCGCGTCATATAAATGCATGTGCATAATCAAAGTCAACGAGGAGCGATCAGCGATGTCAACCCAGACAGACGCAGACATCGTCAAGACAATCGAAATGAGCTGGAGAGGTCGGATGCATTTAAATATAAGCAGCTGCCAAAAGACAACGTCCCCAGCATGCCTGATGGATGGCTGACTATTCTGATCTTGATGCACTGCACGACAAAATGTTCTCAATGGATATGTGTACGTGTATCTGTGTATCTGTGTATCTACAGCGTCTTGTATCTTTCGCCTACCTGACTAAATAATGATGTCGCATTATTTATGCCGTGGCTGATTTGCATACGCGGCCAAAGCGTTCGCTTTCTTTCTATAATAAATGTTTAATTTATAATTGATTTTTCCCCAACTCTCCACAAGCACAGCCACATATGTGTATGTGTGTGGGAGGGCATAACGCCTTAGCTAGACCTCAAAACTTTTACCCACACCCGGGACAGCGCCTTAGAAAATCCAATGCCCGGCCCCAACCAGCCCCACCCGACACCACTCAACGCAACTGAACCGCAAAAGGATTTGCCAGCGCACGAAAACACTTAATTAATTCGTACAGACAGTCAGGCGGGCCGGTGGGGTAGCGGCATATCGGAAGGCTGGAAGGCTGCCCGAGACACCCAACTGGTCAGACAACTACACACAACGAAATAATTAGAAATTATAATGGAAAATGTATGCAAGCCATGTTGACGATAACAACGCCCCAGTAATGCGCGCCCACACTTCGTCGGCGCCCAAACAGAATCGGGCAACACCATATTTAACATGTAGAAACGCAGACTGCTACTGCGACTGCGACTGAGACTTAGGCGTTGGCAGCACTACTATTATATTATTTAAACTACTTACTTAGCCCCTGTTTAGAAGCAAGCAAACCCAGCAGCAAAGGCAGCCCAAGTCCCTGAGCTTAAAATAGGAGTTCCATTTTCACAGAACCAACAGCCGATGGTTAAACTACAAGTATGTATTGAATGTGAGAAAAACTGCAACTATTTCTTTCCATAGTCTACTACGATTCTTGCAAATATGGGAATATCAATGCAATATTAGTTTTTGTATAACTAGGCTGTTGAGAGCGAATATATTGTAACAAAGTAGCATAAAATAGTTGATATTTATTACCAAGTCATTGAATACATTAGTATTGCCAAGTGGGGGCTGTAATTCTGCACTTACCTCTGATATTTTTGATATTGAAAGGGATCATAATATTATAAATTCTTTTCGAAGAAGATAACAAACCAAATTTAAGAAAATGAGTCGGAAAATATGGTGTTTATTAAAGTAAAGTATCAAATAACAATAAAAAGTTCGGTATTTTTCTAGTTCCATGTTTCACTTTGTTTCCATTATCGTTTCGTTTTATCGATTTGAATATTCAATACTACTACTCGATACTACTTACGAGTACTACTTTGTTTTATAAATAATTTCAACTTTCAATTTATCAGGTATACTGGTATTAGCCAAGGCAGTTAAGTTAAATATTTGTTCGATAAAAGAAATGGGAATATAGTGGTACCCTCTGCAATGCCATGTTAGACAGAGTAATCGAAACGATAGAACAGAATGGCATGGACACACTCACACACACACATATATATATATATATATATATATGTATATTCACACTCACACATACGGTGAAGGGTAAATTTGCTGCTAATATCCGTTTACGTCTTTAGTTGCAAGAAAATTACAATATTTCGTGTGAGATAGTTTGCCACACGCGCCCAGACAAGCGCACGCACACATACAAGGACACGGGCGCGTAGATATACATAGATACTTTTGTATCTAATTTAAATTTCAAAATTTTGCGCTGCAAGAAAAACGCCAAATGGAAAGTGAGCCGAGCTAGGGGGTTGTTTGGTTTGGTCGCCTCCATCCTAGCTTGAGCTAATTTTCTCGGGCTGTGAATGGTGTGAGTGCGGGTGTATGTGAGTGCGTGTGTGTGTGTGTGTGTGTGTGTGTGTGTATGTATAGGATTAAAACCCGGCAAGTGGACACAGACACAGACGTTGGAGACGCGCGGTATGGTGTGGTGTGAGGTTTCGGCTTTCGGTCTTTGCTTTGGCCATTCCCGTTGCCGCTTAGCCAAATTATATTATGACTTGTTTAAAATTCAAATTCGAAAACACTAAAATCATGTTTTCGATGTCTGCTCGCCGTCGTGGAGGCATCGGAGGGTGGGTTGTGGGTTGGCAAGGGTTTAAGTAGCATTGCCAGCTATTTGACAAGATTGTGGAATGGGATTTGTAGTTTCGGCTGTCCTGACGGCTGTTGGAGCGTGCAACGGCTTTCCTTATAAATAGCCTTCAACTGTTTGCTGGCCAGGCGACGCTCACAACTTTGCAACGTCTATCGTTTCGCTCTGTCTGACTGCTAAGCTCAAGGCAATGTCCTTTGCTTGTCTGCGTGCGTATGTGTGTGTGTAGTTAAAACATAGTTTTCGGTTGCCATATACATTTTGCATGCGTCTTAGTGTTCCTTTCTCCGTGTTTGTATGTCCATGGGGGGTGTGCACTTTAGGAAAACTTGCTTTTAAGCAATTTTAATGATTTCATTAGTGTATTTGGCACACACAAGTTACAATTTAACGAGGATTGTCTGCAAATTTCATTGATTTTTATTGGCCTATATAAAAGCGCTGTTACACTCAAAAAACAATTTCAATATATATGAAATGATCTATACACGATTTAACGAACTGCCGACTGGTAACTCATTAGACCTGTATATAAAACTATAGAAATTAAAATTATTAGAAGCAAAACTAATAAACATTTTTAATAGTTCTTGAAATGGAATGGAAAAGTGAAGCAATTGTCATTCGAAAATCGTCCTTTAACATCAAGGTTACGGTAGAGTTATTGTTGCACACTTTGTCTTTCAATTACCTTCACAAAAAGGAATTCGAAGGCGTCATTTCAGGTTATCATCCACAATATTCAATCCCATTCAACATAATGAAATGGTATATTTTGCTTGGCATCTGTGTTTGTATCTCAAAAATATGATATAACAAATTATAATTTCAATAAATATGGAATGTTTTTGAATGTGCAAATATGCAATACTTTAAGAATGCAACCTTAAAGATAAGAACGCTTCAAAAATAATCTAACAAAAGTACAATAATGACTGTCAACACCTGCGACATGTTGAGGAAATTGTGTATGCCATCTGGCCAGGTGTGGCCCGAAATCCAGCAATGAAAAATAGTTTCCTGTTGATCTACAATGAACGGAAAAGTTAAGACGAATCTACATACATATATCGCCAATAATGCGCTGGTGGAACAATAACTACAGCAAGCACAGTCGTTCTGGTAATGGTGGTATATTCCAAAACAAAAGCTGTTACCAGAGTCATATGTTGGCAAGTATATATTCAGTATATATTCTTGTCACAATCATTATAAATGTAGTGCTAAAAATTTTATGAAAAATTAAGTTTAACAAATGAAATTTGAAAAGAAAATGCCTTATTTTCCGACATGATACCTTTAGGTCTTAATTGATCTTTTCATAAGTTGTAAGCAATTCTTCATTAGAAAATAATACTATATGTATCCTGAAACAAAACAACAGTAATATCAAAATTAAATACATTTGTCGACCATATAAAGGTTCTTTGTTTGATGACACTAAGAATTGTTGGGATTTAAAGTGAATTTAGCTTTGATGAGTTACTTGATTTGTTTTTGTACAAATAAGTTCAATAATTTAGTGTTTTCTATATTAGTACTTATAGGCAACAGTATATCAATAGCTTTAAATGCAGACTATTCCATCACACGAATTCTACTCGCTTTTTGTCTAACAAGACACCCGCATCAGCGCATACATATACATATTGTAGATATGTACATAATTAGATTGCATTATGTACGCACTGTTGTCAAGGTAGTGAGCACAAATGGTCCGGCCTGTGTCGCTCTGCTTTTGGTCTTGGTTTTGTCTTGGTCTGGCAAGCAATTTCAATAAAATTTGTTGCTAGTCGTAGGGCCGGATAAAACCCCAAAAGCAGTCAAATGTCTCAGACACAAACCACTGTGGCAGCAGCAGCGACAGCAACAACAACGAAGGCGTCTGCCGTCTGGCCATAAGTTGGTATTAGTCCAACATACATCCATCCATACATACCAACATTTGGACGTATATGCAAAACACCCCCTGGAGGGGTTGGGCCAATGGCCTTTCAAAATTTTCGAATTTACGTAAATTTAACTTTCTTGAAATACACTTAACAGTAAAATTAATTATAAAAGGCAATTGTGTGCATATATATGTGTGTCTGGCATTATACTTGTATGTATATGTTTTATAGCATACACATACTCCCACACACACACACACACACACACACACACACACACACATACACCCACTTAAGTTTGTCTTAGTCTTTGACCGAAAAGGTGTTGGCATGGAATTTGCATAACCAACAAAACGTCAATGTGTTTTACATACACGCACACATACACTTTGGCATATGTATGCAGGCGGTCATACATAGACATGTGTGACCATGTACAGTTGTGCTTGTCGACATTTGCATAGCATATACATATGTACATGCATACATAGTTTTGTACTTCACCCCAGCCCATCCCTGAAACCCAAACGACGTTCCATGTATGCAAAAACACACTAATTAAATGTTGAAGGCAGTTTATTGATGCCGGGCACGGCCAGCAGGCAGGCGGGCTGGCATTTAGTTGGGCAGGCATACAAAATTGTCCGTGTGTGTGTGTGCGTGTGGGTGTGTGTGAGTTTTCTGCATTATATAAGCTCACCTGAAAATAGGAATTTAAGTGTGCCTGTGTGAGTGGATGTGTGAGGCCCTCGCCTAAGACAATCTATAGCCTATAGCCTCAAACTCAAACCGCAACGGAATGTCTTCATTTTGCACATGAAAGCGAATGCAATCGCAACTATCCATCTGTCTCGTTCTCTACAACTACTATAGCTTTACAAATATACTTATGTAAGTATATACATAACTGTGCGCCTATTATGGCACACACTGAAGTAAATTACACAAGCGTCATTCGGACTGGTGTGCTAGTCAGACAATCTGACTATCCGTCTGTCTACTTATGTATTTTAATGTCGATAAATTATAATGCCACTTGTAAATTAGACTTGCATTTCCCATTCATGCCTTGCTTTGATGTTGGCCCACCAAGCCACCCACGGCAGGCAGCTGTCGCCTTGTCCTTGCGGTTTCTAGTTTCCATCCAGCCCCCTCGCTAGCCTTAATTACACATTAAGCAAAGCAATTATCGGCCTGACAGTTGCTTTAATACCACGTAGCACTTGCTAGCAGCCAACTAGCCAAGTTTAGTTTGTTGTTTGACATTTTGCACAGCACTTTCAATTTACTTACTACAAGACCACAGTGTCCCATTTTGGCTGTTTTTAGCGAAACATCTTACACAATTCAGAAGGCAAACCTTGAATATGATTTTTAACAGCCCGAAATGGCAACTCACGTTTTTGAACTCCCTAATTTCCTCAATTCCATTGTCGATTAACTGTTTCGCTTTCTCAAATTTTTCAAACTTGTTCTTTTGATTGCGTTAAATCAAAAGTAATTCGCATTTTTCATACCTGACAATTATTTTTATATTCACATTAATAGAATTTAGAGAATTTATTAGCGCTGGCACAACGTTCTAGGCCGAACTATCTTCAATCCAGATCGAGAGTTTATTTTTCAAATTCCATTCATCATGATTATATGTATATTTTTTTTAAAGGAAATTATTTTATTTTGTACGCCAATGCAAACTTCTCAAGCGATATCCGTGGCAGATTCATGGAAAACGATCCCGTTTTACTTTTGTAACGTAATCGCAAAAGGACACAGGGTCAAATTTATTGAAACAAATGGATTCAAAGTAATAATTAGGGTCTAAATTCGTACACCCCACCTTTTCGTATGTCATTGCTTTAATTGAA